TTTCTGTACGTCCTTGCTCCGATGAAATGTGAGACAAACTGTATTGACAGTTCCCTGAAGGAGGAGATTGATGCCAGTTGTAACCTATTGAACTAAACTATTGTTGATCCCTTCAAAGTAATGGCAAAGGCTCGGCAACAAATTGGGTCGGGATACCCCTAGAGTTCCATCTGATTCTTGTAGAACTTTAAGTGGTCGACTAGGTCTTTGGTCCCGTCGAATGCCTCTATGGATGACATCTAGAACTTCTGAGGGAGAGGGAAATGGAGGACCTCAGGTGTAAATGGAGACTCGATTTGTTGGACTAGGGCGTCCATGGTGTCGGGGGCCTTTCCTCTAACTACCTCCTTCACGTTGCCCAGCTCTCGCTGGAGTTCACAGATTCTCTATTCCTACATGCGATCGTCGATATCGAACGGGGGATGAGGTCTGTCCTATCGGAAGACAGCTGCAGCCCGACTATGGGCTTCATCCTTGTCTTGTCCTTCGGGATGTTTTCTTCGATTGTTTCTCCAAAGTGGTTGTGCTCGTGGAGCTCTGTGACCCCATTCAGTGGAGCCTGGTGTCCCCGAAGAGGAGCGTGTGACCTGCTGGTGGTGGAGAGGGCTCTTGTTGAGCTGGTGGAAATGGAGGGAGCTTGTGAGTCTGTATCCAGTCCAACAGCTTCTTATTTTATTTCATAAGTTGCATCATGGTTTAGTGAAAGGTATCCATCCCCTCGAGAAAGGGAAGGTTTGTCACTGTGAAGTGGTTTTCGGCGTCCACTTTGGGAATCAGGGGATTCTCTGGTAAGTTCTGGTGGGCTTGAGGGTTGGCAAGAGCTTTACTTATATTCCAAGTTGAAACCATCAAATAGAAATCAGATAAGAAAACGATGAAAACCATTTCCCATAGACGACGCCAATTGGTGCTCAGAATTTGTAGCCTAAGCCCAACTATGATGGGATGGTGTTGTGAAATGGATTCGCAGTTTATGGATTAATCTTTTACGATCAATTAGACTGGGAATGTAAGTGGTTCACCCTAGCAGAAGGACTAAGGCTATATCCACTAGGAGTCTCTTGCTCGCTGGATTTGTATATTCATCGGTCGGCAAAGTGTCTCTTGCAACTTGGGACTCGGAGTCCACTTACAAAGGATGTGTATCTAGATATTCTCTCTCAGCTTTCTACATTCTTCGACTCTCTAATGTTCTCTGATTTTTTTTTTGGGGAAGATCCTCTCTTTTGGCCTGGGTTATCGTTATCTATTTATATTAGCCCCTTCTAGGGCCTTCAGTTGTCCTTTTCTCTGACCCCCTCCTGTTTCTTCTGCCACCACGATCACTGTTCATCCGGCGTTGCCGTCGCCATGATCTCTAGTGGCCTGGTGCTCCACCTTCTCTGAGATTGCCGTAGGTGTCAGGGGTGGTCCCCCTGGATGCGTGGTCCCCTTTGTCGATCCAGAAATAGCTTGGACTGGGCTTTTATTCTCCAAACCGCTTTATGGTTTTGACTGGGCCTAGACTGCTGGATTATAGGCTTTTTGCCGATGCTAAGTCCTCATTCTTTGCTCCGGGCCTCTTGGGCTGGTCAGGCTTCTGAGCCATCAAAACTCTGACCTTGAATTTCGTCCGTATCACTTTTTATGTTACAGGTATTCAAGTTTGTACCGTCTACTCCTTCAAACTCGAATACTGGTTACAAGCGAGTTTAGAACATATCTTTTGAGAAACAAAAATAATTGTCCTTTAGAAAGTATGATAAATATTAAACTTGAGATCTCTGAATTAACAAAGATCAGGCTCAGCCACTAAACTATCCTAAAAGTTACTTTGACTAGAGCTTTGAACGGCTACCAGAAGAGTGGCATCCATTTTCTACAGGACAGTTGCGAGAGACCAATTCTCGATAGTGGCCAGACGAGAATATTGAATGACTTGATGGACAGGTAGGAAACCTACGGATTGCACCTACCAGGACTTATTGGCTTAAGAAGAAAACCAAAGAAAGCCAGAAGGTATTTTTTTCACATGTAAAGATAAATATGCAATATGGAAAGAAAAAAAAAACTCATAGGACTCCAAATCTCATGGTCTTTAACATACTTTACTCCTTCTAGAGTCAATTTTCTTACATTACTCTTTCAATTGTTTAAATGTATTTCACATTGTCCAAATAATCTTATGACAGAAAATGATAAGGAGAATTATATTCAAATCTCTTGAAATTTGTCATTTAATTACTTAGATTCCTAACATTTAAAATATTACACACAAATCTCCTAACGTTTGTACGCGCGTAACACTTAGACCTCTGTCGTTAATGTCCATTAGTATATCCGTTAGTAAATTATATACAGACCTCCTAAAGTTTGTAAGAGTGTAATACTTAAACCCTTCAAGTTTAAAATGTTGTATTTATACCAAAAATACTTCAGTTAAAAATAGAATATCAAATATTTTAAATTTTGCAACCAAAATTATTTTGACACTTATTAAAATAAAATTGAAAATAAAATTTTAGTTTTTTCTTAAAAAAACATAACTAGTATACAATTATAATATGTATTGATATTTAATTTGATAGTTTAAACAACTAAATTAAACTACCAAATTACCCAATTAAAGTTAGAATATATTGTGTCAATTATAGTTTAATTCCTTGTTTAATTTTTTAGTTTTATTCTAATAAATAGTATAATTGTATACTAATTATTATTTTTAAGAAAAAATTAGGATTTTTTTATTTTATTTTAATAAATAATATAGTAAAACATGAATTTTGGTTGTAAAATTTATATTCTATTATAAATGACTTAGACCCTTATTTAATTTTTTAATTTTATTCAAATAAATAGTATACGATCTTCGTACGACACATTTGTCATTTGTGCTCCGAGAGAGAGAGAGAGAGAGAAAGATGAAAAAAATCAATAATAAAGGGTACAATACAAAGAAAGGACATAATTTTATTTTAAAAAAATGGAAGAACATGACAAACATGTTTTTGCTTTGTTAGGATTAAAGTGTGGACTGAAATTCCCACCGTACGTCTTTGTTTTGTTTGTAGTAAATATCGGCAATTAAAATATCCATCGTCCATATTTTTTTTTCTTATGAACATACCAGGAAATACATGTATGTTTGGAACATACTTTACCCGTTATAGCACACTCCAACGTGAAAAGTAATAAGGGCATGTTTATTTCAGATATTAAGGGGTGGGATTCAACTAAATTAATTCAATAGTCCAATAGTAACTTAATACCATATTTGGCTAAGGTTATAGGATTTGACTTTATATTATAAATCAATACCAACTCTAGGAGTAGCTCAAGGCAATTTAAGACATAAAGTAACAACTAAATGAGACTTTTTTTTATTTTTAATATTAATTTTTTTTTAATTTATTATGTGAAAGAGACAGAAGAGTGATGGGCTAGTGTTACCGAAAAAAATGTATCAATTTTTGTTTTTGTTTTTGTTTTTTATAGGAGAGAAATTTTAATTTTAATTTCAACTTTTTTTATATATATTTTTTACTTATTTTTTAACAGGGAGAATAGATATGAGTAAATATGAGTTGACTTTGAGTATTTTTTATTTTTTGGGGGCCTTTTTTTTAGGTTTAAAATTTAATGAATTTAAATTTTTTCTGAGTTACTAATATACCTAAAGCTATGGGACTTTTTAAAAATTTAGGGTCTAAAATCCAAATTTATTTTTTAATATTGTTGAGCCGCCCCGGACCGACTCAATGACATAGGATCAAATAACACCACGCACATATATATATAATAAAATAGTTTACAATTCAAATCTCAAAAAATAAACAAAATGACTTTTGTTATTCGTGGTTGAAATTATTTTAAATTTTACTTTAAAATTAATTTAATGGTTAATATTAACACTCTAAATTTAATAAAAAAAATAGACCCCTAAAGATGTGTTTGGAGTCACCATAGCCACCATCGTCGTCGCCGCCACCACCATCACCGTCACCACGGTCATTGCTACCCACTATAACCGACACCGTCTCCTATCACCACCACTATCACGCACCACCTCTCACTCCTACTACAAACCGATATTTTAATTCATTTATATTTTCTTTATATTTATGATTTGATTTTGGATATGAATACAAATATGTTTATTGTTTATTATTTTGTATTACTCTGTGCCTTCAGGTACAAATAATAACTAGTATATATATATATATATAGTACATGCAAATCAATTCCATGTGATAGGTTGCGTATTAGGATTGAGAATGACAAGAGTGTCCCTAGCTTGATTTTGACAAATTTCAATTTCAATTTCAATCTAATGTCATGCGTCAATACCTAATCCAAGCACGAGATTGGTAATACAGCAATGGGCGTAGGATAAAATAGTACACCTATTTGAAAAAATGAAAGCATACCCAAGGAGTGTGATCTACATGTATATGTCAGTGTGTGTGAGAGAGAGATGTGTATGCGTAATAAAAAATAAAAAGCACTAGCAACATGTTTGTTTGATGGGTTTGGGTAGATATAATTGTGGGTTTAATAAAAACAGACCAATAGACCATGATATCCCTTTTTTAGGTTACAAATCTGAGGTCTGGGATTCAAATGCCGGTCTGTAACTACCACTTATACATTGGTAAAACCCATGTATATGGATTGCAACAAACCCATGGGGACGGGTTGCCGGGGGTTAGGTTTGGCTAAGTCTATGGCAAATATTTGTGATCAATCCATCAACCTCAAATGTATTTGTTTCACTTGTTAAACATGGGATCGGATATGGTACATTGTTCAATCCCATAAACAAAACTTAAGGGTTGAATTTAGAAAAAAAATTCATAAATGCTATCCTATCCCTTTCAAAAAAATCATCCAAAGAGGCCATCGAAGTCAAGGTTTTCGATCACTAGAGGTTGCTAGGAGGACCAGACGCCTTATTTGAAAAAATAAACTCTTGACAGAGAATGCTTGTCAAAACTCCCAAGTCCGTTATTTCTTCATACCACCTTCATTTTCACATCTTAGCTTAATTCTATAAGTACACACCCTAACTTTCCCACCATTCATTCCTCCCCAAGAAAAATTTTATAGCTGAAGAAAGGGGGAAAAAAAGGAAAAAGAAAACTTCAGGGGCGACCTGCGTAACACAGTGAAAAAATGGCTACTCGGATCGGATTAGGATTAATTGGTTGCTTGATCATCGCCGCCAGTCCACTGGGCGGTGCAGCCGCCGATACGCACAACGTGGGAGGTGGTTTGGGGTGGACTATTCCTCCCCTTGGTGATATTGCATACAAAAACTGGGCTGCCAGAGAAAATTTTGAAGTTGGGGACAATCTAGGTATGCATTCCTTGTGTCTTTTCTATAAGTTGCAACAGGTTTTTATAGATTTTTTGGTAACTTTGCTAAATGAACTGAACTGTTCGAGCTCAGTTTGGACTTAACTCAGCTTTTTGCTCGTTTAAGTTTGTATCTATTAGAAAATAAATCAAATGTGGTCAAATTTTTAAATGTGCATGTTCACCATCCAAGCCGAGCCTAAACATCAACCAAGCTCAAGCCAATCTTAAACCAATAATAGTCAACTAGGATTGAGTTCGAACATACTAAAACTCAACATACTCAGCTCGATTATCATCCCTACTGAAACCGGACCCTTGTACTAATGATTTTCATTTTCCTTGAAAAATTTCCAGTATTTACATGGAACAACACCCACAACGTTGCCAAAGTATCCAAGGAAGAGTTTGATAACTGCACATCATCAAACGGCCCAATTCAGACCACCAGCCCAGCAAACTTCACCATTGACTCCAATGGCTCCAGCTACTTCATCTGCACCGTCAACAACCACTGCCGCCTTGGCCAAAAGCTCGAAGTCACCGTCGACTCATCAGCTTCAGCTCTTGCCACCACTGCCTTGTCTGTATTTCTCTTGGCCATGGCCATCTCTTTCTTGAGCTTTATGTGATTCTCACCATATTTACAGCAAATTTCTTGTGTGTTTTTTATTTATGTTCTATTGACATACTTCATTTTTATCTTTTGTCAAAATCTTTAGATTAAGAAATAAGGGTTACAACTCGGCCGGACTGAGCAGATTGAGAGATCAATTGGGTTCAACCCAAATTATAAAATACTTCACCCGATTTAAATATGAATTTTGGTAATGTTTATACTATTGAACTTAGGCAATACAACTCATGTTAAAATTCGAATTAAAATTCAAGTTCGATGCTCGAGTTACTCATCTCTAGCTATAATTCTAGTCCAATATTGTTGAACCTGAATTGAAGAACTTGCAAAAGTCCGCAAAAATCCAAAATCCCATGCCGGATGTTGCCCAAATTTAATTGGGTTAGAATTTTTGTCTCAACCCAATCCAAGCACCAAAAATTGTCGTCTAAATGTTAAATACTTAATGTTAGAAAAATGGGATGCAAAAAATGAAGTAAATGGCATGATAAGACGCGGACTAGGTCGTTCTCTTAAAACGATTTGCAAACGTGTCGTCCCCAAGATTGCACCCTTTTATGAATAAATCACAACGTAGAAGGTAAAACGTGTCATCCCCAAGATACAACAATTCAGCCTATTGGTTATTACTTCACTCAGATCTACACAATCGAATAGAAATTTGTATCTCCTCCGCTCGTCCCACTCCTGCACACGTGAGAGTTTCAAAGTTTTACTTTAACTCAAAAGATAAATAACACTAATATATATATATATATATATATATATATATATATATATAGTCAAGTATTTTTAAATATTTAGTCGATGTAAGATTAAATTTTCACATTAAAAAAAAAACACTCTTATAGTTAAAATACTCTAACATTTAAGGTCAAATCAGAATCGGAATTGGGTTTGGATTAACCCACTCAAATTACCCCTTGAGAATAGGGTATGCACTTTTGGGGGCTCACAGGCAGAAACTAATGGCTCGTTAGACACTTCTAGGAGTTTTGGGTTTGAATTTGTAAGACTGACATATTTACGATGTCAGACCAGTAGGCGTAGTAATTTCCTTTCAACAGAAATCAGGGGTGGTATATAATACGAAACTTATTTCGAAAAAAATACACGCTTTAAAAATATTTATAAACAAGCCTATCTACTGTAATTAAAGTCCAAAAGACAACAAATGCTCTGTCATATCTAATTTTTAAATCCATATAACATTACTTTTCAAAAAAAATTACTTACGCACAAAAGAAAATCCGTATAATATTTCTCCACAAATAAATAGTATACTATATACTTATCCATAATTTTTCCCTCTTTGGGTTTTGCCAATAATCCCCCTCTCTCTCTCTCTCTCTCTCTCTCTCTCTCTCTCTCTCTCTCTCTCTCAATTGCAACACAATTCCTCTTAATGTTGAGGACGACTATGGTCCTAAAGGAGGTATTGTACAAAAAGTTATGTTTTTTTAAGGTTTAGTCGAAATCTTTTAATGGTGTAAGTTATAACTCAAATAGTTGATCATAAAATGTTTGCCTGATCATGAAAAATATAATTTTTAAATGTCAAATTACACATTTTAAAAGTGAAGTTATAACTAATTGAAATTATTCGTTTGTTATTGGTAATGAAATGTTATGATTGATTATTAATAGTTGTTATTTGGGCTTTATAAGGTGCAACTTAACTATTAATAGTGATATTTTTTGGAACAAAATTCTCTTCTTTTTTTTTGGTATCATAGTCATTTCCTTTAGGTTATTGTATTCACAAATATTCAATGTAGTATGGCGGTCAGAAGGATAAAAACAATCAAACTAGAGACTTGAGCAAGTTTCAGCGTTCTCCTAACTGCATGTATAATCAACAGAAATGGAATCAGGAACTTAGTCAAAGACTCAAAACAGTTCAGAGATGATTCATAATCACAGCTTCTTTCCCCTTAGTAATAATACATCATGCTGAATCCATGAAAACCATGGTAACAAATTCAAAACAAAATTGCAGAGAGATAATTCATAGGCCTGGTTCTCTTTAGTAACATGATTCCTGGCTATAACATTTTACAGAAAAAGCAAGACTGATTCTATATATCCCAAGAAATTTTACTACAAATATGAGGAAAAGATTTGGGTAACATGATAAATCCAATCAAAGAAGGGTGATTACAACATAAGATGATTGACAGCAAAGAAGATACCCATTCTCCCACAATGCATTCTGCTATTTCCTTACTAATTGTTGTTTCATTCAATCTTGTCTTTCATCTAAACATGGTTCTTGAATTAGTATAACAGATAAAACAACTTCCAAGTTGCCAAGACATTACAGACTGAAAGCATGAAATGGTTCAGCTATGAATAATATAAGAATGTAAATAGGGTTGTAAAAACAGTGTCAGTGGCATCAACTTAAATGCCACCATCACTTACTGCTCCATTCACAACATGTTTCGGGCTTTATATCAACATTATCCAATAGACAATAAACAGATTTAGCCTCAATTTCCTATTCAATGGTAGATCACCATTGCTTTGTTGGGGCCTACTTATGTTTTATAGGTCCCACTTTCATGGCAATCAAACTACCAATTGAGGGAAAGCCTTGAGCTAAATCTGACCCTAAATCACATTCACATATGGCTACACTATCAAATAGACAGTCTATGGTATCCCCTGCAAAGTGAAGGACACATCCACATGGAGGTCCTAGCACTTTTGAATGATGTAGACTGGTCTGAAAGGAATTCAGTGCAGTCCTCATAAGTTCAGGATGCTCTTTCCCTCCACTACAAATTGCTTCATATATCTCATATGCTCTGTCCACCATTCGATTTGTCTTTCTGCCCTTGTTTTTTTCTCCTCCACTCTTTTGAACTAATTGTGTCCCGGTTCACCATAAAGGAAATAGTTAATTCGATTCAAAAGTTAAAAAAAGTATTAAATTCTAGTTGCGACACTAATCTGAAACCTGTACCTTTTCAACAAAATTAGAAAGTTCACAGTTAAAAGTTAAAAAAAAAAGAGGCTGCAGAGGAGGCACCAAAAAATTAGTGAGGCATCTCAGTTTTTCCTTTTTTCATCAAAAATTATATAGTACAACAAGAAGGCAGTTGTCTACAAATCTGGCCTTCTCATTCGACCAGAAAATTGACCATCATCCATATTGTCTTCAAGGGATACCTTAACATTTCCCAACAGATGCCTCCACACTCTAACCTTCACCCTCAAAATTCCACTAACTTCTACAGAACTCAAAGGGATCATTAGTAGTTTTCAAGGGAAACAATGAGAATTACTTGTTCCGAGGGGGAGATAGATCACTTAACTTGACCTCTTCTAGATAACTGCTTGGACGCACAACATCAATTTCACAAGCCAAACCTTTTTCCCTGCTCATGCACGAGTCTAAGGATGTTCCCAACCTCAAGGATAAATCACACCCCATCTCAGGCTGCTTCACATAGTTGTCCTTGATATATGCTTGAGTTATTATGTTTGTAGCACATGCATCCCTATCATAAGAGAGAAGGTTCTGCAAGCAACCCATGTCCCCAGGCTTTGCAGTTGATGGAAAAATTGGTGTGCCAACAATTATAGAGTTTAAATTTCCAGCAGTGTGGGAGCCCATCTGGGAGGCTTCAGGTTGAAAGTGACTACCATAATACGAAGGGTAAACTGAACCCACATTCAATGAGTTTTTCTTTTCAAGTGGGATGAACTGATTATAGCGAGGGGGAGGAGAAACCTCAGCTGATGAAGGAAAAATGTGGGAAGAAGTGGGATTGTTGTTTTTTGGCATTGTATGTCTATTAGAATCTGATATTAAATGAGCTGAGTTCACAATTGTGGGTTTTGAACGGATTAATTGATTGCCAATAGTAGGGTTTCGCTCATTCGTCGTATTATCCAATGTTCTACGAGGTACAGAACCAGGTGCTTGGGTTATTGGGCTAAGATAACTTCTCGGATTACTGTGTCGTTGGCTTCTGGATTCTCTAATCGGAACACAACCCAGAGTGAGGGCAGCTGAAAATAATTAGGAGGAGAGGAAAACAGGAACATACATATTACAAATACATTTCTAAGCAATCACTGACAGGAAACGATTTTTTCCAAAGTTCACAGACACAGGCATGCTACAAATTCATTTCAAACTCTCAGTAACAGAAAATGGCTTCTAAACAAAGACACTTAAGAACGGCATCGAGCTAGAGCAAATATACTACCAAAATGAAGACATCCTAGTGGTTTTTATATCAATGTAATACCAAAAGAAGAAGAACCCATTAGCATAGTTTCATGGTTAAACCCAAGAATGTGCAATGTGTACCTTCAACACACGGCGGCAAAAGTTCTCCGGTTTCTGTACTCTCATCTCTCCTAATGATTATGTTAATGGCTTCATTAGCCCGGTCCCATACTGTGTTAAGATCCGTGTAGTCAGCCTATCAAACACAAAATCATCCCAAGTGACTCTGGAAAAGACCAAAATATAGAGACCAAAACAAGAAATCTAAGCCAGCTGTAATGAAGAAGAGGACCTCTGAATCGGCTTTGGAGTACATGATTTCCTCAGCTTTCAACACAACAACAGGGAGCTTCTCTTGCCATTCTTTGTTTTTTTTAGTTGTAGTACTGTGCCTCTCATGGACGAACCTGATCGAACACATGGTGGTGGGCATTAAAAAATCAAGATGAAAAACTAAAAACATTAACCAAAGAAGGTCAAATATAGATGACCCAGTAGGGCCAGTACCTGAAAATCTGTTGAATTATCGAACCTCTCATGGGTTTATGCCAATCACTGTGCCAAGCTCTTCTCACACACTCATACGGCCTTCGGCCTGGCCTAGGCATCTTGTTTCATCAACTAAGAGCAGAGTTGAGTGTCTGGGTGGGAGAGGGGGAGTGATACAATATATACACAAAGAAAAACTAGCTTTACAGAAAAAGCAATATCTCCACATGGATGTGATGCTGAAGTGTGCAATTCCTTCCACCACTTTACAGGTTCAATCCCCAGTGGCAATTGTGTGTGTGTGAGGGAGAGATAGGGAGAGACATGATTTACAGGGGATGAATTATACTTCCCTCCATCAACTATGATTTTTTTATAGTCTCCGACTATATTGTTTCTCACATTACGCTAACAATTATGTTATTAATTTCATAAAAGTTTACGTTTGTCTTTAGGCAAATGTGAAATCAATTCAATTAATTAAAAAAATAATGCAAAAAGGTCGATACTCCAAATGACGTAATAAAATTAAATCCATAATTAAAATAGTCAAAATATAATAATTCCTTTTAGATATTTGTGTATGTTTGGGTACAATAATTAATGGTGTGATTGTGATGTGCCTCCCTCCTCAAAAGCGAACACCCTCATGAGTCACCTCACCAAAAAACTGACTCTACAGGCTGCTCATTTGGAGGCAGTATGGGGCCACATTTTGTGTGTTAATGGGGTTTCTCACCACCACCAGTTGTACATGTTGGTTGTCTTGGTGTCAAGTTGTAAATAGGGATGTGTTAATATTGGATTTGAATTTTAAATATTTTTTGAAATAATAAATTATATGTTATGAATTTAAAATGAATACTCTATTGGTACTTGATAAATAATTTAACGCTAAGGTAAATAATTTAATGCTAAGATAAATAAAAAAATATATTATAGAATATTTGGATTCAGTAACATCTTGTTTAATAAGTTATAAAATTTATTTAATTTTGCTTCGAAATGAATAAGTAATTTTTGTATACTCTAGGCTTAGAATTTTGAGTTCACGGAACTATTTGTATCAAACCAAACACGACTCCAATAAGAATCTCCTAAAAGAATACCACTCAAATATCTTTACTATCTTAAAATACTTATTTTTTGTTTGGTATGATTAAAAAATGAAAAGATGAAAAATTAAAAGGATTGAAAGTTAGAGAGATAAATAAATCATCATGTTTGGTAAGAAAGGAAAATAGGAAAGATGGAAAAATGGATGATTTCTTTTTTACCTTTTTTTGGGTTGGGGAGGGAATAAGACTTGAACCCTTGACCTCAAGAAGGCAAAGCCTTCACAAGGCAAGGAGTACCATTGGACCAAAGGAAGAATAAAAAAGTGAATGAATTAACTTTCCTTTCAACTTACAAAAATCAACCCTTCCAAAATCGGAAGAAAAATAGATGAAAAGTTTATTTTTATTGGGATGCATCTTATTTGTCTATATATTATGTATACATTAATTTCATATAAAAATACAATGATAAAATATATATATATATATTAAAAAATTATAAATAAATAGAAATTAAAAAATATTTTTTTCATCTTAATTAGGGGTGAATATTTTTAACTCAACACGAATTTGAAAATGACCTGACACGCAAACAAGAATTATAAAAGGCTATGAACATCTAAAGTTGAATTAGGATCATAAATGTACAATTAAGAGTAAATTGGTTCACAACATGGTCGTGGTATAAGCGATCTTGTTCGATGGCGTATCCATGGATGATGAATGTTCTAAGCCCCATTCCAATAGTTAATATTTCATCCAAAGTAGCATCAAGACTCATGATTAGCCTTAGATATTGTGTTATTGTGATATGCATTATTGGCTAATTACGTTGGGCAATGCATTAATAGTATTGATTTAATTGAGTTTTGAATATGGTGTTCTTTTTGGAGTGTTTGTTCAACTTTGCAGGTAAAAAAGGGTGAGTTGATGACCAATAGGATAACATACAAGAAAAAGGAAGAGGTCCAGAATCTAAGGGAGACAAAAAAAAAACATTTTGCTTAATGCATCCGGATGGTGGAAAAGGCGCGTTCGGACGAAACGTCTAGAGACTGCCATGAAAAGGCAAAGACATGTATCCAGACAGAAAAGCTAACGCTTCCAGACGGAAGATGGAATACATCCAGACGTATAAGAGAGAACGTTTGGACGAGAACTCCAGAAAATCATGAAGAAAAACACTATCTATGAGTCCAGATGGAATTGACCAAGTGTCTAGACGCATGTTTCTTATAGATCAAGACAACTGTACACGTCCAGGCGATGAAAGCTATATGTCTAAATGCAGGTTTGAGATTTTCCCTGAGCCTAGAAACCCTAATGTCTTTACCTATAAAAGGAGGGTAGTTTTACATTGTAATCACCTTTTGTCTCTAGTCTTTTCCTTTCTAGTTAGTTGTATTTATTTTATGGCCTACTAAAAGACAAACTAAGGCTAGGGGAGAAGCTTTCAATGAAGCACATTATTTTTTTGATCCAAATGTTTTAATGCTTGATTTATTCTTTTAATTTAATTCTTATATATTAGTAAAGTTTTTACTTTGTATAATTTCTTGATTCAATGTGCCACATACATCGAATGTTTGAGATTTTCTACGAGTCAAATAATTGGTTATTCCATGCTCGAATTATTTAATTAAAATTTTCATAAGATAATTGGTTTATTATTTGCAATAAATTTAGGGTTTATTTGCGGAAGAACTTAATTTATCATAGACTCGGGACACGGTGAATACTTGTAATCTGCATGTGAATTCCTAGATTTATTCAAATAATTTATTGGTTATAACTTTGGATGTTTTCATATTATCACCACTAAATATTTCAATTGGGATCACACCTCATCTAACCCTCAATTTAAGTTCGGAAATCGAATCATTAATAATTGTAGTATGGAATTAAAAGGGTATTTTCAATGTTTTAGTATTTCAAATTACTATTTTTATTCAATCAATTGTTGTTCTTTTGAAAAATTACTTTTCTCAAACAATTCTCAAAGTAATTTTCTTTTATATTTTTTGCGTTCCAAGTCTTCTCAATTCCCTAAGGATTGATCTCAGAGTTCTTTAGTCTATTATTACTTTGCAACAACCTACGCTTGAGTTCAGCATTTTTTGAGTTGTAGCAACTCGTAAACGCATTAGTTGTATTATACTCTCGTGTATGTTGACAAAATAATTTTGATTATTCATCATTGTCGTCATACAATGATATAAGCGATAAAAAGGGTGCAATAAGTAGAGATAGAATAATCTTTCCTTGCAAACAACATTTACCAAAGAGGGGATTTGATACAAATGAATGTGTTAATTTTTCAGCAAATTAGTGTAAGGCAGAACAATGAGTACATGTTCGATTCATCAAGCCTAGGAAATGACGATCTAAAATTTCGTATCCCCGAGGATCAAGTGGAACATTCATAGTTGCACCTTCTTCTACTATGTATGCACTACATATCAAATTTAGATGTTATATAATTAGTTCGTATAAATTGAATACAAGATTAAAAGAACAACATAAATAAGACAACAAGAGTGAGAGTAAGAATTAAAACTTACAACGAATATCTGGTGTCTTCATTCAGATTAGACATTTGTTGGAGCATGTTTGTCACATACGATACCCATGAGGAACACGGGGAAAGTCGTTCCAAGAGTGTTGTTGTGCTTTTATCAAGTTTTGAGGAGACTAGTCTTGGAGCATAGTATTTACAGACCTTTAAGACATTTTTAGGTGTGCCTTCGTCAAGATTTTGAGGAGGATTTTCTTGATTCATGATGGCCACAGACAACTATTGTGAAACAATTGTTATGGTGTCTTCATCAAGATTTTGGAACATGGTGGTTGACAATGACTCTAAGACATTTGTTGTTACTATACTGTCTGGTATAAGATGGAGAATTTTGGTAGACAGATTCATCGACTGAAGGCGGAACCTTATATTTGATTCTCATTCTGGGTATGCTCGACGATGACAGCTCGGTAGTAAAGAAGGAAAAAATCTAGGTTGAACAGGGGCACAGTGTCTTAATCGTTCATTTGTGACATGCAAGTTGTCTTAATTGACATTTAGAGCACATGTTTTTTTCCCAAAATATCATTTTTCTGGTTCAAGTATTGCTCATTGTGACCACCTGTTATAAGATATGTTGACTCGAGTTTGTTCAACTTCTAATTTATAAGTGATCCTCATAGCTGATTGAATATTTGTGCGTTGCTTGCCTTTGAATGGAGCAAGAAAATGTAAGTTGAAACCATTCAAATTCCAAGGGCTAGTTAATATATTCAATGCCAAGAATATGTATAGTTAAAGGTTATAAATTATTTAATGACATCAAGTGATGGATAAATATGAATCTTTAGTAAAAATCAAGGATGTAATTGAATGGATCCGTGTGTGAAAAGTCAAAGAATTTAGAACAAACACAATCAATTATCAGTAGAAAAAAATAGTTTGGACAAACCCTAAACGTCAAAATTTTGACACTATGACCGAGGCAAAACTTCGACGTAGAAAAATCCGATGATGATGGCAATCGGCGGTTGTAGCATGTCAAGTGTTAGTCTTTGGTGTAGGATTTTCGACGTCCTTTTTCTCGATTGTTGGCTTGATGCTTATTTCTACGTGTTGAAAATATGAATATTTATTTAAAAATAAAATAGTTGCACAACAGTCAATAGAATTCATTTAAAGTGAAAAAAACAGTAAGAAGTCACCAACTCAATAGTCCAAACAATTATAACAATTACATATAATTTAATAATATTGTTAACTACACAATGATAGAATAGACATTAGCTATTTTGTTAATGTTATTTTGGTCAAACAAAAGTTTTTCATTTTTATTGACATTTAGAAGTAGTATAGATATAGATTATATTAAAAAGTTAGATCATAGTGATTTATTGTTAAAATCCATACAAAGCAAACTATTTACCAAACTCATAATTATATAATAGGGTTGTATTAACATAACTATTTATCAACTTCATAATTATAATAAAGTTATTATTTGATGCAAAAAAGAAACACCATAGCCCAAGTCACATCCAACATATTGTTTACTAATTATCGGACAAATGGCAAGAAATGCAATATGAGATCATAGGGTAATATGTTCTAGAGTAACATGTTCCTTCAATTCCTTACTTTGTTACATATATATGTTCTTTTTGC